GTGTGTACCTGTGTGTGTGTGTGTACCTGTGTGTGTACCTCTGTGTGTGTGTACCTGTGTGTGTGTGGTCCCAGATGTATCCATTGAGGATCTCTCCCAGGACGTACATGATGCAGATCACGGCCGTCATGGCGCTGAAGAAAGCGACCCGAGCCAGCGGCGTGATGCGTTCAAGGACCGGGTAAACCCAGACACCGGTCACCTGGTGGACCCAACACGTCCTGGAAGGCCAGATCCATTTGTTTTACCAACAAATCTGGACTTCAACACATCTGTAAGACGCAGCAGAACCAGCAGATGTTCTGGAGTGACCCGTTACCAGAGAATGTATCCGACGCCGAACAGGCAGACGGCGGCCAGCCCCCAGGACCGACGGGGGTAGCTGTGGTGGGTGGTCCGCATCTCGATGATGATGAAGGGAAGAACGGTGGTGTGCTGGAGAGAAACACGGAGCAGAACATCAGTACAGGTTCTACAGAACCGGCTTCGGTTGCCCACATTAAAGGCTGATGATGTCACGATGAACAAGAACCAATTAAATCACTGATCCAACAGTGAAATAGCCGGGGTTCAGCAGTAGAGCTGCCATCTAGTGGCTACAAGAGGAACTACACCTGAACCAATCTAACGCAGCTGCAAAAACAAGAATCGCTAAACTTTACTTTGAAAGTTAGTTTAGTATGTTTTCATTTTATTTATATGAAATGCTAAGAATCATTATTATTTATTTAGTTTGAATTTAAATTAATTATATTTATTTGCTTCATTTAAATTAATTTGTTTCATAATTTTTCTTTCTAATTAAATTTTCTTTTATTCATTGTGTTTTAAATGTATTCAATGTGAATTATTAATTATTTTTGTTTTAATTTAAACCATTTCATTTAAATTAAATGTTTATTTTGTTTTGAAATGGAATTACATTTATTTTATTTTAATTACATGTAAGTAGTTTTAATTGACTAATTATTGTTTTTAATGAAAATCCCCTGAGCCTTGGAGGTTCAACCAGTGGTTTGGGCCAGAACCGGGACGGGGATCCACATCTCCTCTCATGACCTTGCAGGTCAAACCTGAAACAGCTGAATCGGATCTTTAACCCTTTCTGATCACCTGAAAACACCACCTGGTTCTGACTCTGATGCTCTGTTTGGACTCAGAACTTTAATTTTCCTCTGATGAACCTTCAGTTTTATCTGAGAAAAGCAGTCCTGTGTGTGTGTGTGTGTGTGTGTGTGTGTGTGTGTGTGTGTGTGTGTGTGTGTGTGTGTGTGTGTGATGTACTGAGAGCTTCATGCTTTTGGACCTGGAGTTCATCCTGTCATTGATGTAACCAGAAACTAAACCCAGAGCAGAACTTTTGTTATGATTCTCCTGGAAACCCAAACAAGCCGAGCGGACCGCGCCCCGGCCAGGGGCTGAGAGGGACGAAGCTCTTCACGCTTTGAGCTTCGTTCAGCTTTTCTCTTCAGATTCATTAACTTGAATCAAGGAAGGAAAATCTGCATCAAATCGGACCAATAATTCAGGAACGGTCCAAAGGTTTTTATACTTTGGCATCATCTCATGAGTCCATCCATAATTAGCAGAACTAACTTAATTTAGCATTTTGATAACTTTGAAAATGTTTTGCGCCGTTAGGTTCCCCTAAATTAATTTTTCTCTATAATTTTAACCCATTAGTTCACCTGGCTGATCTGTGGACTTAGAAAAGCAACATGGAGGCATTTTAAAACATAAATGATGTCAAAATGAAACTGGTGCTGAGGGTTGCAGGGCAGACTACTTAACCTGAAGTCAGCCCTTTCCATGAAATACTGCTGATGTAGCACTTTAGCATGAGTTTCTGAAACTAACATGCTAATATAACTCTTTAGCATTTGCTAAATACAGTGTTATAGCGCTTTAGTATTAGCTTATGCTAAATGCAGAGCTATAGCGCTTTAGTATTAGCTTATGCTAAATGCAGTGTTGTTATAGCGCTTTAGCATTAGCTTCTGCTAAATACAGTGTTATAGCTCTTTAGCATTAGCTTCTGCTAAATGCAGTGTTATAGCGCTTTAGCATTAGCTCCTGCTGTTTATCATGTTGGCATAGCGTTTTAGCGTTAGCTGAATCGCTGTATGTGATGAGTGCTTTGGTTTTATCAAAGCTGTATTTTTAATTGCACCTGGAAACGTTGTTTTATTTACCCATTATCTAATAAAAATAACTCAGTTAAATGTAGTTAAACATATTTATTTTGACGCTGAATGGTTTTGGTTAATGAACTTTATGGTGTTTAACTGGTTTTACATTATGATGGTTCTTCCTACTGAGGAGCGAATAAGAACCAAAATTATGTGTAAAATTTCTGCTTTCTTCCCTCCACTGAACTCGTCCTGAATGAACCTTTACATAAACGTGTCAATGAATGCAGACAGTTCAGTGACATCATCTCACCACATGTTTACTGAACAATTATGTCTGAGATGACATTATTATTAAATCATTGTGTCTTTCTGCCTCCAGCTGAATTCACTCAACTCCTCCCTCCTTCGCTGGCCACATGGTTACCGTGGCAGCAGGGATAAACAAACAAGTCCGACACCATGGTATACCACAAAATATTTACAACACACACACCAACCTGCTCACACTTTGTGTATGTGTGTGTGTGTGTGTGTGTGTGTGTGTGTGTGTGTGTTGAGCACAAAGGCCTCAGCGGTGCTGCAGTTGTTGAGCTTCATAGCAACAGCTCTGCTACGTTACGTTGCTTTTGTTTCTTTGGATTTGGGAAACATTGAAGGGATGACCTCATCTCTCTGTGTCTCTCACACACACACACACACACACTGCTCTCACTTCTCCGAGGATCAGCAGCCGGAAGCGCCACGGGAACATTTTGCATATCAGAGGCTGCTGCAGAAATGTTCAGATTATCTAACCTGCTGATTGAAGCGCCTCGCCGCGCCGGTTATCAGCCCTCGATGCGCCGCGACTGCTCACCATCCAACATTTGACTAAACCTACTTCCTCCTGATGGGGAATCAAAGCTGCTGTTTAAATCCAGATGTGGACCTGGACTGATAACGGTTATCAGCTGGCTTATGCAGCTCATGATCCACTGACATGAGTAATGATCCCAGAGAGTCTCGCTTTACATGCTCTGCGATGCAGAACTGAGATCCAGAAAGATTTTAACCAATAAAACAAACACTCTGACTCCCTGGACTGCAAAATGAAGCAGCCTAAATTCTAAATAATCAACCAAAATCATCGGGTCAAAACCCCTGAATTCAGGTCTTCTGATTCATTCATGAAAACAAACGATGCAAACTCTGAAAACAAAAACAAATGCAAACAAGTGAAGCTGCAACCACAGAAAAAATGCCTCAAAATAACAGCAAGTATGAAACTCTGCAAAACGCAAGTCCTCCAGGCCAGCAGGGGGAGCCTGGAGGAGTGATTATGCTGCTGTTTGATAATGTTGTCAAAGACTTGAAGTATTCCTCCAACTGTCTTCTTGACAGAGGTGAGCAAATCTGCTAATTGTGGAGCTAATTTGTTGTGAGGTTTTCTCAGCGGCTCAGCTTAGCCAAATCAATTTTCCAGTTAAATTCTGAAGCACTAATTTAGTTGGTTGTTTTCAACATCTGCATTGAAGTTTTGGTTACTGACTTAATTCTTCAAGTATGCTCTTATTTTGAAGTGGGTGCGGACTGTGTGCAGCAGTTCCACTTCCTCTGGTCATGTTGTTCACCTGCGGCTCTACAGGAAACAAACTGTACAAGCGGTGTGCAATGACCAATCTACCCTGTTGAGGGCGACATACCATGTTGCAGCACATGTGCTATTGCCACAGGGTATCGACATGGAGGAAGTTAGCAGGTTAGCATTATCTTCCATTAAACATCATGTTGGTGTAGCGCATAGTGCTTCTGGATGCAGCATGCAGCGGTCATCAGTCGCGCCTCTTTGCCTCTTTGGGTTTGGTGGAGTTCAGAACGGCACTCGCCTGATTGGTTCATGTCAATTATGACAGGTTGGTGGAGGCAGGATGATGCTGTGGGACTGTTTTTCAGGTGCTGGACTTTACCCAACAACTACTTTAGGTCTTAGAAATCTAAATTTCAGGATAATCAGGAAACTGATTGGTTTTGACTTTATTAAAAATGTAACTGATTAATGTTTCTCATCAAAGCTGCACAGAGCTGCAGAGAAACAAACCCACTCACCATGCCGTGGTTGAGCCACTGAGGAATGAAGTTATCCAGCAGCTTCGGGTAGACCAGTTCTCGGTCGTAGAGGTAGAGAGTCCAGAATGTGAACACAACAAACTGGAAAGAAGAAAACACAAAGTGAGAAACAAGAACAAAGAAAAACTAGAGACAAACCAACCAATCA